GTGTCTCTGCAATGCCACAGCCACCTGTGCTTCAGTGACCATGAAGTGAACCACATAAAGAGATCTCTGGTGTGATGATACTTAGAGGTATCTAGAGATGCCTCATCTCTCTTTCCCCTCATGAATTCCTGCCACCCAGCTAACTGAATTCAAAATTCCTGGATTAAACAAATTCTTTAGATAAGGGCCCTGTACTATTAGAATCAAAATAGGTAACATAGAGTGTATATTCTTCTAATGACTTTTTAAAACCAAAATATTTCCAGGTATAGAAATAATAAAGACACATTGTGATAGCAGACACTACTGAAGAGAGAGAGTAGGTGACCATCAGTCCCGGAATGAATATGTGAGTGAATGAAAGAATAAATGAGCATGAATGAAGAGCATGGAAAAGAAATGATTTCACAGTGTTCCCAGGCCGTTACGGCTGAATGTGCAGTAGTGGTTTCACATAAATTTTGTACCCAAGGAAGCACTTGGCATGAAATTACTCTTTAAATACTTATTGAATGGATAGGTGAATAGGTGAGAATGGAATAAATTAGAAAACGACATCAATGATATGAAAAAGGTAGAATGTGAGAGTAGGGTCCATTTCCCAAAAACTATTGAATAAGTTCAATCAGTAAGTGCGTGCTTGATCAGTGTTAGGCAGGATGGAAGATGGTGAGCACATAGGCATTGACCCAGTAACCACAGATAATCACAACTAACAAGTTCAATGAAGGAAAACTCTTCTATTTCCACAGAGCAGGGGCTCGTGGGAGCTCATTTTGTGCCGATATATTCTCATTAAGTAAATGCTGTGGTAGGTTCTTTTTCTTTCTACAATACATGTTCCTATAAACTCAACTTTAAGAATTTTTTAGATATGAGTGAATTTTTCCTTCAGAACATTCCATGGTATCTGAATTACCTAGTGTCTTTAGGTAGGCAAATATCTAAAGAGTTTGCTAATGTCCTTTCAATGGTATTCATAGATAACTCGAGCAAGCAACTTTGATATTTTGATTACCTGTTGACACCTAACACAGTGCCACAAGCAGTTGTTGCTTTGGATCAAGGCACTATTTCTCCGGTGTATTCCTCAAATCTCCAGCTCTATGGGTTATGCTTTGAGGGGATAAAAATGAGAAGAGGGGACTGGAAGAAATGTTTAGGTAATGCTGTATTAAACAAAATCATACAAGTTTTCTTATCTGCAGGTCTTTTTAGAGGCTTTAAAAAGCTGACTTCTTTGTAAGTTTCTGAGAGTTTTTTTAAGTTAATAACCCTGGGACCCTTTTCTTGCAGTAGCCCACTAGGTGCTAGTGTCTCATGGAACACACTTTAAGAAACTGTGTTTTGAGAACTTCTGGCCAAGATAGAAGCATAAGTAGATACATTTTGTCTCCTTGCACAACCCAAAGAAAGACAACAACAAATTTAAAAACAAAAATATAACCAGAACTGACAGGGAATTAAACTATATGGAAGTCATACAACCAAGGAGTTAGAGAAGAAACATTCACCCAGACCAAATAATAGGGGTGGAGATGGGCAACTAGAGTGGGGAAGGCTTGTGGCAGGGCGGCAGCTGGTGGAATGGGCAGTCCCACATTTGTGTGCAGATAAACTGAGAGGAACACTGGGGAGTGAGACAGACCACGCAACTCAAGGTTCCAGCACAGGGAAATAAAGCCTCCAAACCTCTGACCGAAAAGACGTGTGTGGGTTACGGCAGTGGGAGAAACTCCCAGCCTCGTAGGAGAATTCACTAGAGAGACCCACAGAGTCCTAGAATGTACACAGACCCTCCCACCAAGGACACTGCAACAGACGGGCCCAATTTGCTTGTTGGTAGCTGGGGGAAGTGACGAAAAGCTGACTGAGAGCTGAGCAAGCAGCATTGTTCCCTCTCAGACCCATCCCCCACATACAGTGTCAAAACACAGTGAAGTGAGTTACCCTGCCCTGCCAAATTCCTAAGGCTTTGCCCCTTTCTACAGAACATGCGCACTAAGACAAAAAAAAAAAATACGGCCCAGATGAAAGAACAGATCAAAGCTCTGGAAAAAATACAACTAAGTGATGAAGAGATAACCAACCTATCAAAGCAGAGTTCAAAGCACTGGCAATCAGGATGCTCACAGAAATGGTTGAGTATGATCAGAAAATAGAGGAAGAAGTGAAGGCTACACAGAGTGAAATAAAGGAAAATGTATAGGGAACCAACAGTGATGGGAAGGAAAGCAAGACTCAAATCAATGGTCTGGAGAAGAAAAAAGAAATAAACATCCAACTAGAATAGAATGAAGAAACAAGAATTCAAAAAAATGAGAGGCTTAGGAACCTCTAGGACAACTTTAAACGTTCCAGCATGCAAATCATAGGGGTGCCAGAGGAGAAGAGGAAGAGCAAGAAATTGAAAACTTATTTGAAAACATAATGAAGGACAACTTCCCCAATCTGGAAAAGCAAATAGACTTTCAGGAAGTCCAGGAAGCTCACAGAGTTCTCGAAAAGCTGGACCCAAGGAAACACACATCAAGACATGACACATAATTACCCAAGATTAAAGATAAGGAGAGAATCCTAAAAACAGGAGAAAAGGAGATAGTTACCTACAAAGGAGTGCCCATTAGACTATCAGCTGATTTCTCAAAAGAAACCTTGCAGGCAAGAAGGGGCTGGAAGGAAGTATTCAAAGACATGAAAGGCAAGGACCTACATCCAAGATTGCTCTACCCAGCAAAGTTCTCACTTAGAATGGAAGGGCAGAAAAAGTGCTTCCCAGACAAGATATAGCTAAAGGAGTTCATCATCACCAAACCCTTATTATATGAAATGTTAAGTGGACATATCTAAGAAAAAGAAGATTGAATATATGGACAGTAAAATGACAACAAACTCAACTATCAACAACCAAACCTGAAAAAACAAACAAAAATGAGCTAAACAAACAACTAGAACAGGAACAGAATCACAGAAATGGAGATCACATGGAAGGTTCTCAGTGGGGAGAATGGGGGAAGAGGTACGAGGAATAAGAAGCATGAATGGTGGGCACAAAATAGACAAGGAGAGGTTAAGAATAGTATGGGAAATGGAGAAGCCAAAGAATTTATATGTAGAACCCATGAACATGAACTAAGATGGGAGAATGCTGGTGGGAATGGGGATAAAGAGTGGAGGGGAATAAAGGAGGAAAAAAATGGGACATCTGTAATAGCATAATCCATAAAATATATTTTAAAAGGTTCTGTGTTTTCTAAATACAAATGACTTTTTTGGGGCATAGAGGCTGGAATAAAGATGATCCATTAATACTGTGAACCATTAATATTCATAATCATTTTAGCAAATTCATCAGATTAGCTGTTGTTTTAAAGCAAGAATCTGAAGCAATGGAAATTTAGATCAATTTCCCAAGAAAGAAGTCCAGGTTGGGGGGACAGTGCAGAGAGAGGGAGATCGGGCTCCTGGAGCGTCAGCAGGGGGCACTGTGGGTGAGGCTGTGGGAATATCCAAAGGCGGATGATAGACATAGGACCAGCTCTCTCTAGGGCTTTCTTATTTTGCTTAATTCACTTTGAATGTTGATCCCACCCCCAACATTATCATTTAGCCCATTCATATAGACCTGTGGATAATATGAAACATGTAAAAAGGTAATCCATAACTGAAGGTGAATTATTTACTTCCTCTAGGTAGGCTTAGTTCTTCTCTCTAAAGTTATTAAGCAGTCTCTCCCCAAATAACCCAAGACCCAAGGCAAGAGTATTAATCTGAGTCCACATACCCTAAGTCGTAAGTATATACAAGCTATTAATCAGGCTAAACAGTTTTAGACCACTCTTATCTGGACAAATATACCTAAGGAGCTGTGTCACGGGGTCCAGCCTCCGGTCCCACGTCCAGCTTGTGTGTGCTCGGGACGGGTCTCCCACACAGAGGTGTGTGCATCTGTGCTCACACAGCCAAGCTCTGTCCACACTCTCCAAACACCACCCTACACACCCGTGTGCACCCGTCACTGTGAGATCTGTTCAAAGGCGATCATACATGGGAGCAGGCCTTTGTGAGGCCTGGACAAGCACTGGAAGCTGTTAGGGCAAGAAATTCTAGGGAACCCCGACGATGGTGCTAACAGGGGACAGGCACTTGGCTTTGGCCTTGACCATTTTCACCCTGTGAGAAGGGGCACAGAACGGGCAGGGGCAGGGCCAGAGCCAGGCAGGTCTCGGCACCAAAAGAGTATTGGAATTGAGAACAGAGCCCCTGGGAAAATCACACTATAAAAAGCTGCAGTCTCTGCAGCTACCCCCAGCCTCTGGGGGAAAGAAAAGAAGAAGAAAAATGATATTTCTTATTTGAATTTAACTACTTCTGAAAGCCTCTGGTCAACTTTTCTTTGTTCTCCAAGGTAAGATTATTTCCCCTTTGGCACTGAAATGGAAACTGGATCAGTTGTGTGAAAAACCAAAAATGATATATTTTATCAACTTCAAACTTATCCCAAGGCTTTCTCCCACACTGTGTTAAATAATAGAAATCTTTTTAATTGAATTTCTTTGTGTGCAGCATATGCTGGGCAACATTATGCCAGCATCACGCTCTAAGCAGCGAAACGTTCTTCATAAAAGCATTAAGATCCAGAGCGTTTTTCTGCATGTGGGGAAGGAGCACAGAGCTGCAGCAGCTTGAACCCACATAAAAACAGTGCCTCCGAAATGTAATTGTAAAAGCACATCGCTACAAACTGGTGGTGGGGGTATTTAAGGTTAGAGAAGGAAACTAAAAAAAGAAGATGGGAGGGCGGAGGGCAAGCACTGTGGCACAACTCTGTCCATAGGACTGAAGCCGTAATGTTTTTGGTGTCCTGGCATTCCGTCTGCAGGCTAATCTGTATCCTCGTTTCACCTTGAAGGCCACCCCTCTTAGAGCTGGGATGATAAATGCATGTGCTCTGGACTGAGGCAATACCTGTAACACGTGATTGTGTTCTTTACCCCAAGGATCCTGGAGCTTCAGCAAAATGGTGACATGGACATCCTGAAGCACAAATGGTGGCCAAAGAATGGCCAGTGTGACCTGTACTCCTCAGTGGACACAAAGCAGAAAGGAGGAGCCCTGGACATAAAGAGCTTTGCAGGGGTTTTCTGTATCCTGGCTGCTGGAGTTGTCCTCTCCTGCTTTATAGCCATGCTGGAGACGTGGTGGAACAAGAGAAAAGGCTCCAGAGTCCCATCCAAAGAGGTACTTGACTGGGAGCTGGGGCACTAACCTGAGCTGACAAGCAGGCTCTGTGTGCAGGGAGCATGGCTGTGAGATGGGGGGAAGGGGCAGGGGCACTCTTTGTTTCTTCTTCCCTTGAAAAGTGAAAATAAATTTGTGAAATCTAAAAATTGGTAAGACCAGTACCAATTTCCTTTGTAGGGCATCCCAGATAAATGGAGAGTATATAAAGTTTGAAAGACTGACAGTTTTTTATGTGCCATATTGGGCTTTGAAATTCTCCCAGAACTCAGGATAGAATTCACCTCAATGACTTTTTAAAGACCGTGACTGCCTGGACCAGTTCACAAAGATGCTTATCTTTTCATGTCCATTAGTCCTTAAACTTATGTGTAAAATACTTGCGTCTCTGAGGTCCAGCCTAACAAGTACAGTTACATAGTAAAATAATTAGAATTCTCTGTGCACCACCAGTGACTGCCACCCTCTATCTGGATGTAGACCTAAGAGAAGTGATTCTTTTTTAGCTTTGCTGACCCTAAGCCTAACAAGTCCACATTGTGGAATCATCCAAAATTCAGTATTTCTACTCTCCTCCTGAGTTAGCTTAACTCCAAGGCCATGTTAAAGCTTTTCCAGAGATCTGAGAGGACACTTACAGCGTTACCCATCATATTTCTTTAGAAGCAACATGTGCCTTGTTTTCTTCAAAAATTATAACTGTCTTATTTCTGCTGAACCAAAAGTGTCAACATTTTTTAAATAATAAAATTATATTCATTAAAGCTTCATAAGTTGAAATGAAAACTACCTAAATTTTCTGACTGATTTGATTTTCTTGATAGTTTCAAAGGACAGTTTTAAATTTTCCATAACTAGACCTTGGCTACCTGATACATGGAGTGAGTCCTGGAAGGATTTGTTTTAATCCACAAATAAAAATGACTTCTCATTTGCATACAAATTTTTGCATATTAATGTATTCTTGCAAACAAATTGTTTTTTTCTAGTCTAAGGATTCCTAATGCAAAACTGATCAACGCAGCACCACGTATAAGGAAAAGCCTGGTCTAGCAAAGATAAATCTTAACTACCCACTTGTTGGAATGACAATACATCCTAAATTACCAGAGTAGAAACCAAAAATTAATCAGCTTTTATTGTAGTATTTTCTTCATGGCAAGCTTCTGGTATCCCTACTGACATTGATTCAATGCAAAAGACCACATTAATGCAACATGATAGCGGAGGCTTCATATTCTCAAAAATCTGGAAATGAAGTGTTCCCCAAGCTTCTTATATTTTGAATTACTATATATGATATTAAATTTTTGCATTATTGTATCTGTTGATGGATGAATACATTATAGTTGCTGTGGGAACCATAAAATTATCTTTCAGCCCTCTAAAGTCTCAGTGATAACATTGCATTAATGGATATTTTTATTGGATTTTGAAATGAGAAAGGAGAAAGAAAACAGTGATGTACTCAAAATATTTTTCACTTAGGAGCACTATAATAGCACAATAAAAAAATACATACTCCATTCTAATTCATGACAGCTAATCCAGACCTTGGGAACAAATATTTTCCTTTATGATTAATACGTGTTTTTTAAATCCTCACAAATCTGATTTATTGAACTTAGCTATAAATAAGACTGATACAGAGAACAATTTTATTTCTCGCCAGTTTTATTTTTCAAATATTGGGCTTTAATACTCACTTTTAGTGACAATCCTAAGGGATTTATGAATTGGTTTCAACTCCAGAAATCTGAGGTTTTACTTTCTTTTTCTTTATTAAACATGTTTTTACTAAGAATCTATTAGCATAGCTCAAAGCACCTCTGATTAAGAGGCCATATAGCATATACCTGACCCCAAACTAAAACTGCTGTTCACATGTAAGGACTTGGGAGGGGTCCCCATCACCTCACAATATCCCCTCATTCACGTACTAGGTAGCTTGCCTATACGAAGTCCCTCAGTTAGAAATTGCTTCTCTTGTGTTGAATGTTTTTGCTCTGTTTGAACAATCTTACATATCTCTAGCCTAAGCAGAAATAACATTGTAATAGTTGCTAACACTCTAGTGTGAACTAACATGTCAGCATTATCGTATCATTTATCTCCAAGAATAGAAAGTTAGAGTTCAGAGTGAGCAGCGGAAAGGAACAAATACCTAACTTGGAATAAGACACCCTGAAAAAAGGAGGAAGCACGTGTAAAGAAGAGGTGGGGGTGGGGGATGAGTTGCCAAAAAACATAGTTTTCATTTGTACAGTTTTGCCTGGGTCTGTCCCTGCTGCCACAGAAAAAGCACTCACCCATCTACTGCTCCCATATTTTGTCGTTGCATGTGGCATATGCTCATTATAGAACTTTTACTGCAAGAAAAATATTTATTATAGATAACCTTATCTCAGAATCTTATTGGTACCCCCAGAACCTAGGACAGTGCCTGGCTCATATTAGGTGCTCAATAAATACTTTGTTAAATGAATAAACGCCAAAGTTCAGTTCCTTACATATCATGTTTGCTGAACGACTTTTTTTTAAACCGTGGAAGCTAGTACTGATGAGAACCTTATCTTCTTTTTCTTCATCTCCAGGATGACAAGGAAATTGACCTGGAGCACCTCCATAGACGTGTAAATAGCTTGTGCACAGATGACGACAGCCCCCATAAACAGTTTTCCACCTCGTCAATTGACTTGACCCCTCTGGACATTGACACTTTGCCAACACGGCAAGCACTGGAGCAAATCAGTGATTTCAGGAACACTCATATCACCACAACCACCTTTATCCCAGAGCAGATCCAGACTCTTAGCCGCACACTATCAGCTAAAGCTGCCTCTGGTTTCGCTTTTGGCAACGTGCCTGAGCACCGAACTGGCCCTTTTAGGCACAGGGCACCTAATGGGGGCTTTTTCAGGAGTCCTATAAAAACAATGTCATCTATTCCTTATCAACCAACCCCTACCCTGGGGCTCAATCTGGGTAATGATCCAGACCGAGGCACCTCCATATGAGCATCCAACAAAATTTTTTCACTGTTTCTTTCGTAGGACTCCCTTTGCAAGGAGCAACTGCAATGTTGTGGGACTAACATGGATGTAACATTTTTTTTAAATCAGGATTATTAGTAACAATTCTAGTTCTTCCTCCCCACCTTCTCCCTCCTCCCTCCTCTATTTCTCTCTTGTTCCCTTTCTTCCAATACATTTCCTTCCACTTTTATTCATTGCTCTACTTGTTCCCCCAGAATATAGTGTACTAGGATCCTAGTAGTCCGCTTTTCATATACTGTACTTCAAGTATAGGAAATGTGCACTGAGTATACTAAAAGTATATGGAGGATTAATTTTACATAAAGGCCTCTTGCATAAAATTTCTCTATTTTGAAAGATATCGTTGCAATAACTTCAGTCCTTTTCCGTTCTTCTGCTGCATCCATACAAGGCTCCACTGCTGTTGAGCGTCCTTTAACTGTGGACCAAAGGCAACCCCTGCAGTGTTTATGAAATACCTTAAAGACCATTCAGGCCACACAATATGAGAACGCAATCATGTAGGATTACAAAAAAGCCATTAATATGCCAGTCAAGACTACAGTTAAAACTACTCTTGCACTGCAACAGTGCATATGACCTTTATGTGATTGTACAGTATTAAAAGTTTTTTTCTCATGTACAGTAAACTTTATCATATGGCAGAAGCCTCTATTGTGTTAAATAAATTAGTATCTCATATATACATATATATGCACCTATATAATGTGTATATATATTGAAAGGCGGCCATTGCTATTGCAATTCATTTAATAAAGCTTTAGTTAAAAAAACTATTGTATACAGGAACTATGTATAGTGCAGGGGTCTTTTCAGTTAGAAAAGGCAGGTTGCTTTAATGTTATTCTGATTCGCATTGTTGCCAACAGAGAATATTTTATACTTTTGTTATTAAAACATCCAAGGCAATTTAATATTTGTTCCTAGATGTAACTCATTTGAATAGGTTTTGCATTTGTTATTCAGCAGTGTATAAAGCTAACCTTGATAATTTTACTTCTAATTAATTATCTAAATGAAAAAAGCTATTAGCCGCACCGCATCCACAACAGCACATAGAGCTCTATAAGGGTTTAAATGTAGATCATTGAAGGTTAATAAAGTCTCTTCCAAAGCAGTAAGCCAATTAACACGACTGTAGTTGGGGAGAGGTGGGAGCCCTTAAAAATATTGATGTGGCCTTAATTACTGTCATACATAATCCTAAAGAAGAAAATATAATAACCATACTGGGCTCTCAATGTAACCCCCTTTTTATTCAGTTCTGTTTGGAGGAGTTGTGTATTTTTTACTTTAGTGCCAAGTGTGTCGGAGGATGATGGCAGAAGCAGTGCCTCCTTGTGCACACACCTTTGGAAGTAGCGTTCTTACCTGTTAGAGATGTAGAATGAACTTTGTTTGTAACCCTTAAATTAAAGTGTGGTAAGTAGGAAGCAAGAACTTATCCTATGTTCTTAGCAGCCATACTCTTATTTTAATCTAATTCATTCTGTGGTTAGGATTGACTTAGGAATCAATCTATGTGATTTGCTTTAGATGAAATTAAAAGGTATATTCTTAAGGTATATTATATTTTGATGCTAATTATGTTCTGGGGAGCATCTTGTACTGTCACTGTTTTTGTACTAAATTTTCAAATATTGTCTACTGTGTAAGGCAGAAAAATTTTCTATCATGCAAAAACCATTTTGTTTCCAGGGTAACAAGTACCTAAGTGCATGCACAGCTTGTTTCCCCTCGTAACACTCATGATCTCATCAATGACTCTGGTTTTAAAACAATGACAAAAAAGTCTTTACGAAAAGCTGCATAGGGACATACCAGATGTTTCCGTGATTTTAGCTATCAAACTGTTAACCATGTACAATATTTAAAATAGGCCTATTTTGATGTATTGCCTATTATACAAAAAAAAACAAAAAAACACTTTTTGGAGGCCTCGGTTATGAGTGGCAGAGCTTTCTGTGTATAATTTGTCTAAATAATTTGTCTAATAAAATGTTTTCTAAACTTGCTCTCATACCATTGAAGTCTTAACTATAAAATTTGAAAATGCTTATCCCTCACATACTGAAGTGAATTTTTCTAAAAATTAATCTTTGGTTAATTAAAGCATAAAATACATTAAGTTTTAGTAGTGAAACTTTACCAAAATGAGTGGCTCTCTAAAAACAATACTAAGTGTTGTCCTAAACCAATGAAAGACTGCTTTTCTGCTACTTGAGACTATTTGGACCAAGAATATATTTGTTTATCTTTATGGGTATTTCTGTGAGCACTCCTTTGGGAGAGATTTATTGTGTTTCATGTAAACAATGCAAACATTACAAAAGCAGAATGAGGGTTTGTTGCATCAAAAAAAAAAAGAAAAGTAAAGGTAATTATTAACCTTAGAATTATGTATTAATAATTGCTTTGCTGTTAGAGAAATATTCATCGTGCTGAATCTATTCATTTGAAAATTACTTGTCCCCAAGTTATTTCTAATACATTACTGCATTGAACGATATTTAATTCATCTGGCATTTAACTTGCTCAATGGATTTATATCTGAAAATATACTCAATTTAGATTAAAATCTCTGCTGTTCTGAAATTCCACTAAAAATGCAGTTTTTAAATGCTGGGATGAGGAGGCACTATAGAGACCTACGCCATCTCCCTCATTCTACAACAAGGGAACATAAGATGCCAAGAAGCTGGGACTTGCCCACAAGTTTGACAATCTGAGACTTAAAATTGGGTCTTTCTTTTTACTTCTGCCACGTCACATTCAATCCCATCCCCGGGTCCTCATGGATTGTAAACATTGGGCTCAGGTACAATGCCTCCACCCACTCCTATAGCCCAGCCTAGGCTGTGAATCTCTAGGAAACGTTCTTCCTGCCTGGGACCATGCAGAGCATCCATGCCCCCCAGCAACTGAGCATCTGATTCAACTGCTCCATTCACAGATGGAAACGCGAATGCCTCTGGCCATTTCCCCAAGGTCCTGGCTCCTGGCAGCAATCAGCCCAGGTCCTGCTTCTGTCTACTGCTACTTCCTTTACCCTATCGTTGGTCCTGGTTTGTACCACTTACACCAGCCCGGCTATTTCAAAGCAAGATAAATACCTTATATCCATGTACTTTTATTCTTCTCAGATAACAAATTTATTCTTGCCGTGAATCATTAAGAAAATGAGTTGTCACTTTCAGTCACATCAGAACTAATGCACAGGTTTTGATTTAATCATATATAAGAAAATTGTAAGAACTTTCTTTCTCATACATATCAAACTACAGGCAATTTGTTGTTTTCTTAATTATGTTATTTTCCATTTCCTTTAGCTTGGGATTGGTTGTGAATTGAATAAATACTTTAAAAAATAGACTTTGCTGAATGATACTTTGCTTCATCAATTAAAGAGAAAAAAATGACAAGAAGATTCATTTACCCCACAAAATGCTTTCTAAGCCACACAATTTGATAACAAATGATTAGTATTTTATAATCAAAATTTTTGGAATAGTGAAATACATTCTGTATTATGAGCATAGTAGATAAGGCAGAAGTAAGATCTTTTGTGCTGGTAAACACAGGTTCTATCCTTAAATATATATTTCATGATCATTGATAAAATACAATGGACTCACTAAAAATTGTTTTTCATCTACAGTGTTTTTATTTCTAAAAATTAATCTTATTATCACTCCTGTATTTCTAAAAAATAAATATTTATCAATATTAATAAATGGCTAGCAATTATGAGCATAGTTATTATTCCAACAAATTTTAGTAGACATGCTCTCATGAGATGGCATATGTGAACTCTTGGATGGAAATGACTTAACTGACATAAAGCTTTTTAGATTTGATAGATTAAATTCAGTCCTATCAGTGTTACTGCAAACCTATTTCGTGAAAGTCACCGTGCTAAGCAGTTACACCTGGCACAAATGAAGAGCTGTATTTCTGAATGGGTTGCATGTGTTCTGCTCAGTTCTTTGCCTCACATTGACATGAAAGATATAGATGCCATCTTACAGACCTTCTGAGGTGGCAGAACGAGTCTCAGCAAAGCAGTGTAGTCCTCTCTGAGTCCAGACAATCAATCCCGGTAGTTCTTAAGGGCTAAGTGAGTCTGTCCTTTTAGATTCAGATCACCTCCACAAAGAAGACTTGGAGATTTCCCAAGATGCCAGACCAGGAGGCCAAGTGTTCAGAAATGTGAAAATTACCACTAGCCAGAGGCAAACTACTATCTGACCCTTCCTCCTTATCAATACCGACATATGGTCCAGAGAGTGACCCCTACCCTTAGGTGTCCAGGTCAGAATGACACCGGCCGCAACAACTTTTTTTCTATGCCTGCAGGGCTAATTGTGATAGTTAGAACTCTATGGTATTTTTGCTTCAAAGGGACCAGAGTCCATCTTGTTCAGGCTACTTCTCAACTTTTATAAACTTTTCTTTATGTTGCAACTAAGGTTCCTATCCACCTTTTCTGCCACCAAAGACACAGTCATAGCGTGACCAAGGAGCCCGATGAATGTATGGTGTTTTACTCACTGGCCACTGTAACAGCTCTCAAGCCCCCCACACTCCCACCGCAGTTTTGCGCCATCGCAGAGAGCTGCACAGAGGCAGACAACAGTTATGCTGACAAACGGTTCAGGCTGCCAAGAAGACAGAAACAGCCTGAAGGAGCAGTCTTTCATCTTCTCACCTGAAATCTCCAAATTTCTGTATTTTCTGCAGTTTTTGTTTGTGTTCTCTCCATGTTATATGGAAAAAGTCAATCAATTTTGTGAAATTGTTTTTGTTATCTGAAAGCTCTACCCTAATTTGTTATTACATACAATTAGGAACCAAGTGTCACCTTTTGACTTATTTTACACATTTTCTAGAATTTCTTCACAGAGCAGAAAAGGAACTGGTTGTGCAATTTTAACACATTATTCACTTTATGCTATAGATGTGGCTTCCTAACCTATGTGAGGAACCAGGGCCTGGTTTCCTTTTGGAGAAACCCTATGGTGCCCAC